AATATTTTATGTTATAGTTATCTTTTAAATTTCAGACAGTTAAATGGTATAGTAGATAGAACATTCACCTGGTATTAGGAAAATCTGAGTTTAAATCCAGTTTCAGACAGTTACTAACTATGTGACCCTGTGCAAGTCACTTAACCTCTGTCTGCCTCAGTTTCATCAATAACAAAATAGAGATAATAATAGCACCTACCTCTCAGCATTGTTGCAAGGATCAAATGAGATAACATTCATGAAATGCTTTGAAAATCTCAAAGTATCATATAAATGTTAGACAGTATTGTGGTTATTTTCATCAATTGATTAGGTGGCTAAAATTTTTTAAAATGAATTTCTATCTTTCAACAAGAAAACTTGTGAAATTCACCAACCATTTTCTACCACATATTTATGTGAGCAAGCATTTTCACTTTATTATTGTTTTAAATAAAAAATGCAGAACATCTATAAGGAACCATATTTAAGACTGCAGTATTGAGCCAAATATTACAAATCTTTGTTTAAATTTAAAAGTTTGATATCAAAATAAACTTTATATATAATTATTATATTATGTTAAACATCCAAGTTGTAATTTTATTTCATTAAAATATTATTTATATTTTATAAAATTTGTTAAAAAATAAATCTAGTATGAAATATTATAGATAATAGTAAGTATATGAGGTCATGATGGATTACTTTCTTGCAGAATGTTCCACATAAAATTTTTATAATTTTGTATATAAAGTTTTCATAGTTATAGGTAGAAAAATGTATTTTATGAAAACAAATATAAATTTTAATTTGGAGCTTTTTGGGGTAAAAATGATCTTTGTAGGTATTGTAAGTATTTCATGAATAAGTCAAAAATAATATCACAAGTAATCCTGGGAATTCACCACACGTTTTTGTTATTGTTGAAAAGAGTTCTCAGAATCCAAAATGTTGGAAATCACTACAATATTTCTCATTTACTTTTTTTGTGATCTTTGACAATCTGTGTGCATTAGGGGGAATCTCAATTTTACTTTAATTCGCATTTCTCTAATTATTAGTAATTTGGAGCATTTTTTCATATTTCTGTTAATAGCTTGGATTTCTTTCCCTGGAAACTATTCATTCATATCTTTTCACCTTGTATCCATTTCCCTCCCTCTGTGAATGATGAACCAACTGTTGACAAGCAGTCAGAAGTCCTTGCCAATGACAAGATACAAACCAGAAAAATACTGGCCCCTGGAGCCAGAGAGACCCTGACCAGACTACATAGCCTAGACTAGACCAGCAAAAGGAATCAGTGACTGAACCCAAAATGCCATTGGCTTTAATGGAAAGGTTTTGTTTAATCCTGAACTGAGAAAACATGTCCCTGTAGAAATAGCCATGCCTGAGTCTAGATATGTGGACTATGTCCTAAACCTCATTTGTTTGGAGTATGCCTATGTACTGGTTAGGTGCAGTCTGGGTCAGGAAGGAGCTATGAGTATAGGGTGGTTGCTTATTATGTACTCTCTTATTCCTTTCCTCGATTCTATGTAAAGACTAAAATACCTATGGAGTTAAAGGATTATACTTGCCTGAGGGTTTCAGGTCAAGAATTCAGTGACACAAAACAGATCCAAGGAAGAAGTGAAGTTTTCTAGTAGGCGATAGTTGAGAGCTATTCTGATTGGCTGAATCCACACTAATCATATCCCCTTAGGCATAAGCATAGCCTCTCAGAGAGAGATAAAACTAGGACATAGATAGTCACTCTCTCTCTAAGAACTATAGAAATTGGCATTCCCCTGGAAGTTTTTCTGTTTCAGTACTGAACACATAACCATCAGGGAAAACACAAAGTTTCCAAAGTCCTGGTGTTTTGAGTAGACAGATCAGAATAGTGGCTAGCTAATCTGGCGGTTAAATAACTCTCTGGAGATGAAATCCTCCAAATTTAGCTAGGATGTTCCTCCAGACAACAGATTCCATTAGTAGGCCCATATACAAAGGGTATATGGCAATTTGGTAGAAAATGCCACTGAAATAGCCTTTGACCACACAGACTGACCACAACAAGACAATGAATGAACAAATGAGTGAATGAAGCATTTATTAAGTGTTTACTATATGTAAAACACTTTGATAAGTTCTGGGAATACAAATAGAAAAGCAAGACAGTCCCTGCTCTAAAGGAACTCACATTTTAATGGAGGAGACAATACATGGAAGGTTTCAACTTCAAGTCAACTGGAAAGGTCTCATGATCTTTAGGATGCAGCAGTAAAGCTGATGTTAAGGCTTCTTTTTTAATGTCACCTCCACTGATAAAATCCCATCAATTTCTGATGCTGAATCATTTCAGAGTGCCAAAGACTTTGGTGGCAAGAACTCTCTTTTCTTGTCTTCTGTAGCTGTGGCTGTAGCACCTGCAGGAGCAGTTGCCAGGCTGCATCTTCCTAGGAAGATGGCTAAGGGCACTGGACTATTCGCATTGTTATTCCTAAGGCTCTTGAGTTCAAGGTCCTGAATGGTGAAATGGGATTTTATAGAAGTTTAATTTGCTTCCATAAAAACCACTCATCAAGTTTCCTTTCCAAGAATTCTAATATCTGACCTGTCAGTGTCTTCAATGGCTTCTTAATCCTCAAATTCTACCATTTATGAACCATATGATTTTAGGCACAGCATTAATGTAATAGAATACTTGACACCTGCAGAATCAGGAGATTTGGATTAAAATCCTACCTCTGAATTTTCCTTGCTCTGTTTCTTTCTGATGCATTATGGGCACCAGTGACCTCATCTGTAAAAGAGAGGTCATCATATTTGTAGCACCTACCTCATAGAACTGTTGTGAGGGTCAAACACAAACACACATAAAAGTGCTTCACAAACTTTAGAGCACTGAACATCTGTCAGCTATTATTATTATTATTATAAGAGTCCAGCGTAAAGCAAAATGTTTCACATATATTATCTCATTTGAGTCTTACAGCAAACTTGTGAGGTAAAGATAATAAATCTTTTAAATCCTATTAATCCACCCTCCATAGAATAGGATGCTGAGACTAGAAGACATTAACTGATTTGCCCAGAGACACACAGATTTTAAGTGAAGGAAGATGAAAAGCATTTATGTTGGCTAAACATAGCACCAAATCTAGGAGGGTGTATCTGCATACCTATGTACACAATAAAAACAAGAATTCAGTGTAGGTGAATGGAGAACAATGACCCAATGACTTTGACTCTTTTACTTTTTTTAGTGTCTCAATTTCATTTGCATATAAAGCCAGAGAAGATCATGGGAATTTCTAACCCTAAATAAAATAATTGTCTGCAAAGAACTAGTCAAAAACATAGAGATTAAAAGAAAATACTTTATCTTAGTTTGGAATCATTCCTTTTGGCTTTTGTTATCTGGGTGTGGTACTTGTGACCTCTGGTTATTAGTAAAGAGTTATTATGAGGAAAACATGTTCCATTTGTTACACTCAAGCAAGACTAAAGCTAAGATGGCCAGCATTTGCCATGAAGAGAAGAGTTCTAAAAGCTAGTAGCAAGAAGCAATGCCCAGCATCATCTATAAGACCAGGAAGTCCTCATTAAGAGGAGAAGCTCAGGAGAGTGAGATAGATTGGAAGTAGCAGAGATGCAATGTTAGAGGGAGAAAAACCGAGATACAACGTGACACTAAAACATGGGTCACACAAAGAACACCAACCAGCAGAGAGCAGACCCAAAGAAAGCAGTAGAATGACATCACCCAAAGATGATGTGGCTTTGCACTAACAGAGGAGTGAGTGGCCCTTCCCTACATATTCCCTGATCACACAAGTTCTCTATGTGTGTGTCCTGATCTGCGATTCTTATGTGTGCCTACTATTCCCTTTGATGGTATGTGCATCCTTGGGATAGTGCAACTAAAATTTGTGGGGATGTAGGTGAGAAGGGAATTTCCATAGCCTATTTTCTTACTAAGTTATTTCATTGATTACCTTTGACTTCAATTAACTGTGTCCTCTGGCTGACTAGTAAAAATAAATCCATGCTGCAAACTTTTGAATGAGGCTTTTGAGTAAATCTGGATCCACAGAATATTTTGAACCTGAGGTATCTTTTCCAGGAGCCCCATGTGTGAGAGAAGATGTGCCACAGGCATTGCATAAGTGTCAGAAATGGGATTTGCACCCTGCTTTCTCCTGATCCAAGAGTTCTTGCCACTAAATAAAGTGCTCTAAGTCTGGCTTTCTTTCCACTATACTATGCCGCCTATTAAGATAAGCAAATTGGATCAGATGATCTCTAAGGTCCCTTCCAGCTTAAAAATTCTAAGATGTTTTGGATAGAGGCTTTTTTTGATGGAAAGAAAACTCTTTATTTAGACCTTTTTCTAAAAGGACAAAGGTTTTCTTAATATGTTTTGATTAGTATCACAGTAATATCTGAATACAGAATTCCCTCTACCCCACAAAAAAATAACCATGTCCTTTTTTAAGGAGCAGATGCCCAAGATCACATCTTAAACAACCGTGGAACTTTTCACTATAAATGTAAATAATTTTCATTGTTAATTTCTAAATTTATCACCAAGCCTCTCCCATAGAAATGGAACAGACTCTGGCACATAAAGGGAAGGATATAAGCATTTATTAAGTATCTACAGTTTGATCATTGCAACAACCCTGTGAGGTAGGTGCTTTATTATCCCCATTTTACATTTGAAGAAACTGAGGCAAACAGCGGTTAAATGAGTTGCCTGGAGTCAACCAACTAGTAAGTTTCTGAGGCCAGAATTAACTCAAGGCTTCCCAACTCTAGCCCAGGGCACTATCCACAGTACCCCTAGCTGTTTCTAGAAAGATCACATAGCTAACACAATGGAGCATATACAGCCCTGGACATGAAGTAAAGATATTTAGGTTTGAATCTTGCCTTAGATATTAGTTGCGTAACCATGGGAAAGTCACTTTACTCTTCATACTCTGTTTCTTCATCTGTGAAATAGGTATAATACTTGTATTATTTACCTGATCCTGGTTGTTGTGGAGAAAGGCATTCTGCAAACCTTAAAGGTCTCCAAAAATATGAGTTCTTATCATGTGGTATGATTTCAGGGATTCTGAGATGAGTTTCTTTTCATCCAAGAAAATACTCCTTTCACTTGTTCACCGATGCTTGAAAAATCCCTTTTAAAGGAAGATGAAAACTTTCATTTTACATATATAACTTTAAATATGTATATAGACACACATATACATACATATATATGTATGTATATGTGTGTATATATCTATATCTATATCAAGACAGAGGGAGAGAGAGAGAGAGAGACAGAAGCAGAGCTGACAGTTTGATTCAAATTCATACTTAAGGTATGAATGACTCATATCAGATATGACTAGGCAATTTGCAACTTACTAGATTCCTGAAACATGTACATGTATGTATGGGGGATGGGGGAAGTTAAGGAGTCACCGCAGGAAGTGGAAAAACGAAATACATGGATAGAGAGACATGCAAAAAAGAGCACTTCATCATTGTATATTTCGACCTAGGGCTAACAAGTCTGAGCACCATCAATTACAAATGTCAGATTTTCACTTGGAAAGGATTTTCAGAGTGATATGAAAAAATTTCTAAGTCTTCTTTCTTTATTCTACTTCTTAAATTAATGGGCATTTTCACTTTGTGATTTACAAAATTTGCTAGCTACAATTTCAAAATACTTAGCGAAACTTCTCAATCTCTCAAAACACTTTGTTTGGAATGGCTTTATTTAAAAATTAATCTTCATCATTCCTCTACACTTTGTTTTTTGACAACATAAATATGATGCTATAAATAATAAACTGTGGTATAAGGAATCAGAAATGTGTATATAAACAGAATTTTCTTTGCAATGTCTAAATCAAATATATATTGTATAAATAAGTATTATGGTTCTATACCCATTGAACAATAAAAAAAATTACCATTAGGTATCCATTAGAAAAGAATTGAGAATAAAGCAATATAATACCTAAAATTAAATCAAATAACAAAATGAATAGAGTACAAAAAATACAATACAGTTCAGAAATGACAAAAATAAATAGTTATTTTAAATCAGAGACCTACAGAATGTCTAAGTTCGAAACTTTTTTACGGTTATAAGGCACTGAATTCTTTTGAGAGGAAGTGAGAATGCAGCTAGGCAAAGATGCTCTTAGAAGGAGAATATGTTTAGAAGTAGCAGTATGCAGATGAGAGACTAAGATAACATTCCACATACTTTTTGTATTGCTCAAGTATTTACTAAGAGTTTAGGGGGCTATTTACTAATTGTTGCCTGTCTGTGTCTTAGCCTGGCTGACTCAAGTGACACAAAACATAACAAGGAGTAGAAAAATGGGATACAAAGAAGCTTTTCAGTGTAAATTCTCAGGCTCCAGAGTTCTTGGGGAAAGATATATTTACCAAAATGGCACCTAAAGAGAGAGGAAATTGAGAGGAATTAATGAACACAAAATGACCTCAAGGCTATAGGGGTTAATTTGGTTCAATGGTGGAGATCTGAGGGTGGGGAGAGGAAGGGATAGAATTAAACCACTGTGGACCCAGAGTGTGAGAGTGGAACACTGGTGACTGTGGGAAGTCTAGCTCAATCCCATTTCCCAGTTCTTCTGGAGTAAAATGTGGCAGTTCCCTAAGGTAGTGAATTGAACCAAACATACAGGTCTAAACTTTTGGGTTAACTATAAGCTAATTATAATTATTCCTGGTTTCCTTCAAGGCCCAGTTTAAATTATCCCTTCTACAAGAGGCCTATCCCTATCCCAATCCCGATTTCCCCCTTCTATATGCACATACTCCCTCACCATTTGTGCCTTTCGTCTGAGATTACCTTCAATTTATCTTGAATATATCTCATATGGACACAGTTGTTCACTTTGTGCCTTCTCTGAGCTCCCTGACGTCAAGAACTATATTTCCCTTTCTTTATTTCCAGCATATAGCACTGTGATTGGCACATAATAGGGCTCTTACTAAATGCTTCTTGACTTGATGAGATTTTTAAATTTTTTTTAAGGCCATTAAAAATATCACAGTCTCATTAGTGTGTCATTAAACGCACCACCATTCACCCTGATGAAGCTGAAGTTTGTTGTTTTGTTGTTATTGTTGTTAGGGCAGCTACATATTGGAATGAGTAAGGTGAATGTGCAGTGACACTGGACCTTTTGCTAAAATTTTGTGGTCAATGTACTTAACGTATTTTTCCTATTCTGTTGAGTATTGTCATTATCTGTGTGCCTTCATGAAAATAAGGACTGTATCTTACTAAATTTTTTATCTCCCCTAGTACCTGGTGCAGTGTACTGCACACAAATGGCACCTAATGTTCATTGGATTAAAAAAAAAAGATTCTTCAGGTAATGGACAATATGGCTGAGACTGGATTCTCAGTCTTATATGTGACTAGCAAGGAAACAAATCGCTGCTGGCTGCCAATAAAGCCTTGCTTTGGTAAAACATATTCGCTGCCAAAATACCAAGCTAAGTATTTTCATATTAATTGGTATAGCCCACTCCCGCACTTCCTGGAACATGCGCCTCTGAAAGTTACATCCAATTTCCAGGCACATTGGATCAGCATCTACTCAAAACCATAGTTCATGAGGACTTGCTCAATTTTTTTTCTAATAAGGCAAAACCAGAGCATGCATTAGTTCAAAAGGTAGTTATTTAATTAAATAGAAGATTCAAAAATTCAAATACATCTGTAATCTCCTTGACTTGGGAAGTTTTCTACAATGATGCAGTTCACAACTCATCCAAGCTTACCCCATCCTGGGTAACTCTTATCCATATCCTCACATAAGTTCGAGACAGGCTGACAACCCAAAATCCTGGGGCCTTTTTTACTTTCTCCTGATATTTTGAGGATACCGTTGGAACAGTCAAGATGTCTACTTGTTATCCTTAACACTTCCCCTGCAATCATCCAATCTTCTTAAACAAATCCTGAAAACACTCTTTACTAGTCCTTATTCAAAGTTCCTTATTTGTTACAGGTTAGAGCCTGCTCAGTCAGACCCAGCATATATCTCTCCATTTCCCTTTACAATTATATTGGCCCTAACATGGATCTTCTCTGGGTACACTTGGGCTAATATATATGATTGCCCATCTTTGTTCTCTTTAGTACCATTTTTACTCCTTCTACAAGGACGGTTTATTTCCTCTATAAGGATCTGGGACTGTTATATCACAGAATGCATACTGGTTCTCTGTGAAGTTTCTGACATGTGTTGGTTGTCTGTCAAATGATAATTGCCATGTAGACCCTTCCCTGAAAAGGAATGCTCTTTTGTGACATACCCATAGACTCAGGGATGTTTTTATTCTTTTGTGGGGGCAAACCCATAGATATACCTATTCAGTACATTGAGTCCTTTAGATTTTCTAGCTAATTCTTTTTTTTAACTGCCTTTCTACCATATTATCAACAATTACCTAACACTCTACCTGTACTTTAGGCTAAAAGTGATAAGATTTATCTCACCTCCCTTCATGTCTATGAAGACAAAAAGGTAGGTTTTATTGATAGTAACTAAGGCCTATAATGAAGCATCTTTGTGTAAAGACTGATCTTGAAGAAACATATAATGGAGATAATCTGGCCTCTTTGTGTTCCATGTATATGAAATTGTCCCATATTTCAGTTTTCATCCTATTGTATCCTAGAAGAGTCTCTTCAGCTTGGTTCTACTTCAGTTTGGTTCCAATGATAGTAGGACAAGCAAGATCTGCGTATATTGTATGTGTCAACTATGTGACATTAAATAGCTGATGTCCATCAACAGTGCAAACCTGGACCAAAAAAAAATAGGCAAACAGACACAATAATATGATTCTGTATAAATAGTATGTATGGTTACTAGGAGATCTATGGGCAATGTCTGCAGGGGTGGGAAACCTGCAACCCTGAGGCCACATGTGACCCTCTAGGTCCTCAAATGCCAACCTTTGACTGAATCCAAACTTCACAGAACAAATCCCATAAAAGGCTACATGTGGCCTCAAGGCCACAGGTTCCCTACCCCTGGTCTAGAGTATCAATCTACACTGAGGGATGCAAGCAAGGTTTGAAGTTTTGAGGCAAGTAGGCTGAGGTCAATGTTCAGAGTCTGCAAAGAGAGACAAAGTAGGCAGGCATAGGTTTGGGTTCAAGCCTTTCCCTTCACTGACTCACTCAGCCACAGCAATACAGAGCCAATCCAGATTGATTGCTTATGCAGTTTGGATGAGATGGAAGTCACCAATTTTATTTCTTCCTGTGAGAGAGAGGATCATCAGTCCATACTATATGCCCTGGCTCTACCATGAGCAAGTCCCAGCACTGTAATCTGACTTACTAATTCAATATAAAGAGTCTTGAGCCTTGCCATCTACCCTCTCATGCAACTTCAGGACTTCAGAGGTTATTTGCCACTACAATTGAACTTTCTTTTATGTGTTATCTCCCCAATTTCACTGTGGGTTTCTTGAGAATGGAGACCAGTGTGCTATACCCAGATTGTTCAATGTTCAGTGTGGACATTTATACTCCAGAAACAAAAAAAGCTCTATAAATCAGAGTTTGATTTATTGCTTTGTTGATGATCTACGTTTAAGAAAGTGATAGAGAAATGTAGACTAATGTAGAAAAAACTTAAAAGTGTGGTTTTTTTTTTCTTCAGAGAGCCAATTGTTAAAAATTTACTAACACACCATTGACGGGAACTATCTTGCTTTATGTGGTTCCTCAATACTTAGCACGTAGTAGGCACTTAAAAAAACCGCTGTTTTCCATTCATTCATTCAAACTAAACACAAGGAAACAAGCAGGGGATAGTATTTTAACTGAGTGACTAGAAATGGAGTCTAAATATATACAACAAGAGAGTGAACCCACACAACATCTCAGCCGTGGTGTCACTTCATCTCAGGACAGTGGAAATCTGCCCTTGGTCCTGGTTTAGGTAGCCTCCTTAGTATGGGAAGATAGGGACTATATCACCATGCTCATCAAAGTGAGCAGAGGGGACCAAGGCTCTGTAGGTGCTAGTGATTGTAGCAAAGGTCAAGATCCTCTGGGAAGCCTTCACAATTCTAACTCTTGTCCTCCATCCCAAGTTATTATCCACTCCATAAAGTCCACATG